TTTGTTAGTGCGGGGCTGCAGAGTGTTTGTTAGTGCGGGGCTGCAGAGTGTTTGTTAGTGCGGGGCTGCAGAGTGTTTGTTAGTGCGGGGCTGCAGTGTGTTTGTTAGTGCGGGGCTGCAGTGTGTTTGTTAGTGCAGGGGGTGCAATGTGTTAGTGCAGTGTGTAGTGTGTTTGTGTGTTTGTGCAGTGTGTAGAGTGTTTGTGTGTTAGTGCGGGGCTCCAGTGTGTTTGTTAGTGCAGTGTGTTTGTGTGTTAGTGCAGGGGGTGCAGTGTGTTTGTAGTGTGTATGTGAGGGGGGTGTATATAGTGTAGGATATGGCCATACATTATTAATTTAAGAATTAAACAAACAAAAAAAGTTTAAAAATAAAAATAAAATAATCCCCCCTTTTAACTTGGCAGGGGATAGAGGAAGCATTCACATACCTGGTGGTCCAGTGAGTGGGGGGCCACGCCATGTACCGATCCCTGGTGGTCCAGTGGCAGGTAATTCAGTCTGTACCCCGCAGGGTACAGATCATGTTTCTCTCCCTCTCGCGAGCACTGGTTTTTCAGAGCATTGCCGCGGGTTACCATGGAAGAGAAGGAAGCTGCTCGGCGTTCTCTCCTCCGGCCTATGATGGGAAACACGACTCCACCTTGGGGTCGGTGCTGCCCTGCATGGGCCGGCAGGAGAGATCTCTTGATCTTTCTTGCCGGCCTCGGCCCATGGCCATCGCGGCCCACCGGGTATTTACCCGATGGCCAGTCCGGGCCGGTACTGTGTACCCAGCTCTGTCTCCCAGGATACCATATGTTTCAATTTAGTTATGGGTTTGGCATTGTATAGTGAATAACACAAAGATATAGTACCCTTTCTGTTTGGATCATATAAAAATATTTTTTCTAGTGGTGTTATCTCTAGTGATTTATAATCTTTATCGGTATCCTGTACGTTATATAATTCTTTCAACTTTTCAATGATCAACATGCAATCTTCTTTACACTCATTCGTTAATCCATGTTTAAGTTTAAATTTTTCAAATAAAAGGATGGCATTACCATGAAAAAAAAACTATTTACGTTTGTTATAGGGTATTCTTTCAATAAGTCTAGTTCAGAAAAGGTATACGGTCTTTCAACAATTCAATTGGCATTGCTCTATACACTCTCACAGTATGGCTGTTATTTTTTAAAACGGTGTCCCAGGCCTTGAGAGTGGTTTTTGTTAATAAAAATAATTTAGTGACTCTAGGTCTTTTTTTCAGGACATAGCCAGGGTAATTCCGTAAGTTTAAAACCTTTAGGACACATGACATGTGTGACATGTCATGATTCCCTTTTATTCCAAAAGTTTGGTTCTTAAGGGGTTAAACGGGAGAATTTTTTACTCTTCTATTTCCATCCATGTTGGCTTGTTAGATTGACTATTAAAACTCACGACCACTGCAGCATTAGTCACAAAATAGTGTTTGAGGATATCCGGTACAACAATACTGCCATTAGATTTGTGGTGCTGCAGGGAAGTAAGTTTTATTCTGCTAAGTTTGTTCCTCCAAATAAATTTTAACATTACCGAATGTATTTTATTGAAATAAAGATAATGGTATAGATAGAGGTATGTTCCTAAAATAATGCAATATTTTTGGTAGAATTGTCATTTTAATAGATGCGACTCTCCCTAGCCATGAGAGTTCAATCCTGCCCCATTTCTCCATCTCTTTTTGTAGGTCTGACCATGCTTTCCTCAAGTTATAAATATGCATATTTACTAGATTTTTGCACAAATTAATGCCTAGGTATTCTAAATAGTCATTTCTCCAATCGAATAAATACATTCTCTTAAGGGTGGTGACTTCTGAATGATTTATGTGAATGGGAGGGCCTGAGTCTTGGACTCGTTTAATTTATAATACGAAACTTCTCCAAACTGAAGTAAAATATTTGAAGGATTTTCACAGATTTTTAAGTGCCAAGATAATATCATCGTCAAATAAGCCAATTTTGTGAGTAGATCCTTTGTTTATTCCATAAATTTCTGCCATTGTTCTATTTAATTCAGCCAAGGGTTCCATAGCTAATACAAATAAAATTGGAGATAAAGGGCAACCCTGTCTTGTGCCATTAGTGAGAGAAAAAAGTTTGGGATTTAACCCCTTAAGGACCAAACTTCTGGAATAAAAAGGAATCATGACATGTCACACATGTCATTTGTCCTTAAGGGGTTAAACCCAGAGGCTGAGACATGGGCTGTAGGAGCACAGTATAGCTCCTTAATTGCATTAACAAAGGATAATGGGATATTAAATCTGCTTAATGTTATCCATTGGTATCCCCAATGTATCCTGTCAAACGCTTTTTCTGCATCCAATGAAAGAATCAACAAAAGCTTTTTGGTAAAATTAATGTGCTGGATAAAATTGATAAATCTCCTAGTTCCATCTGGTGCCTGTCTGCCCTGTACAAAACCCACTTGGTCATTATTAATTAATAAGGGGATTAATTTAGCTAACCTGTTTGCTAGAACTTTAGAGTAAATTTTTGAATCATTATTTATCAGAGAAATGGGCCTGAAATTAGGACACCTATCAGGAGTTTTTCCCGGTTTTGGCAAGGTGACTATTTGTGCGCACAAGGACTCCTCTGGCATCTTCCCCACGGATTTATAGGAGTTGAACAATTTCGTCATATGGGGAATCAAGATTTCTGGAAAGGTTTTGTAATGTAAAGTTTGATTACCTCCGCTATCTCTTCAGCTGGTATGTCATACTCTAAGCTTTTTAAATTATCTGGAGACAACCAAAGCAACATCACTTTATCTAAAAATGTATTCATTGCTACTTCAGAAGGTTGGGGAAGTTCCGAATCCAATTCTAGATTATAAAGTTTGCTGTAATATTCTGCGAATGAATAGCTAATTTTGGTTGGATAAAATATTTTTTGTCCCTGGTCTTTAATAAATATGTTATCTTTGACTGGGCATTCACATGCCGGAGTTTAGACACCAGAAGAGTTGAGACCCTGTTTACTTTTAAATAAAATGTTTTCTTAAGATGTCTCACTATGAGAGATATGCAGTCTAAATTAATTTTATGATTTTTTTACTTGATCTCTCCTATCATTGCTGATAGGGAAGTTGATGGGCCAAATGTATTAGCCTGATTCAGGTTATATAGTTATTTTTTCATTGTTCTCGGATTATTATTATTATTGATTATCTTCAGGTGAGACGCTCTAGAAACAAAATGACCTTGCAACACTTAGCTTAGCCTTGTGCGCATTCTAAGCCACCTCACCAGGAACCTCAGATAAAGCATTGTCTAGAAAATTATGACTCTAATCTCTCTCTGCTAATGATCTATTTTCAACATCATTTAATATTCACCTAATTTCCATGTTCTATTTGGGGCTAATAATATAATTTTGTCTTTATGTTTGGAGCATGGTCGGACCAATTAATATCTATGATATCAGATTTCAAGATGTGCAGGATTAAAGCACTCTGAATCAATGACAAAATTCGTATCACCACACATTACCAAAATACCTCTCATATTTTCATTCACCAGATCCATAATTTTCCTATAAAAGCTTAATTGAATGGTGTTGGGAAAATACATATTCACAATTGTATTCTCAACATTATTGATTTTACCTGTCTATAATAAGAACCTCCATTAGGACCTTGTCCATTAAACATGCCACATTCCTGTTGAATAAAATTGAAGCACCTCTAGACTTAGATTTATAAGCACATTGACATTGGGTTGGGAAAAGTCTTGACATAAGCTTATAGTCTTTACCGTATTTAAAGTGTGTTTCCTGTACATAAATTACATCAGACTTGTTGGACTTTGCTTCTTTAAATAGTAATATACTCTTGTGTGCGGTGTTCAGGCCTCTCACATTAAACGACAAAATATTTAAGACCATGATTTATTCCATAAACCATGGTTAATAAAGAAAAAATAAGTAATAATGTGAGTCTGAACCTCCGCGCTCCAAGAAAGATATAAGCAAATCCAACAATATTGCTAAAATAGAGACATTTTTTACATGAATTGAATGCATGAGCTTGTTTCAATGGTAAAAGATGTGCTGAGCTAGTTCCCTCAAGGGTTGTACAAGTTTTCACATTAAATTATGTTGTGTAAAATATTTAGCATATTACAAGAAAATGGATGGACATAAAAAATAATTTTAAAAAAGGTATAAAAAACTTGGTTATATACCCCTAGGGAAAAAAAAAGAACATTAGTAAAAAAAATAAAAAATAAAAGGGCCATGAGGGAGAATAAAAAAAAGTTTCTTCATCTCAGGGTGTTAGGCCAAGGTTGGGGGGAGAGAAGACTACTGGGGACAAGGGGAACCATTGTAATAAAAAAAAATTCTTAAACCATTATATGAGGAAAAAATAAATAATTTTAGTTCAAAGTAAAAGAGTCATAAATAGTCATCAAGTTCTGGGATAAATAGTAGTGGTACGCAACAAGTAGCCACAATTAATCAAACCCAAAAGACTGTCGAACAAAATAAAAAAGACAGAAACAAACCAAATTTTCAAGTAATCCTGACATATTCCAAGGTTGGGGCAGTAATTATTAGTATGGTTCAAAGATAATGTTTTCCTAGAACAATACCATCAAGCAAAGTAATATAAATAAAAAGAAAAATAAGAAGAAAAACAAACGCAAAAGCAACAAAAATAGAGCCAGTGAAGTATGTCGCACTTTACAGCGATATATCAAGTGGCATGTAAGCAAAGAAAAATCAAAAATTGAAGACTGGAACAATGTAGACTGGAACAGGACAAGAACTCGGGAACAGCGTTGGTCTTCATGGAGCGTCTGGTTTACTCCTCTTGCTGGCCTGCTCAGGAGTAGATGGTGAAAGCATGTGCGGCAGTGCAGTACATCTGCTTAAGGAGTTGAGAAGTACCATAACTTGCTAGGGTGACGTAATTATAAAATTCTGTCCATCTATACGGAAAAACACTTTAACAGGAAATCCCCATCTGTACCTTATCCCTCTCCAAAGCAACTCTGACGTGAAAAGTTGATATTCTTTGCGCCGTCTCATTGTATGAGCTGAAAAATCCTGGAAGACCTTCATGTTGTTGTAGTCTCCAGGAAGGTCAGATGTGCGCAGTGCTCCCAAGAACTGCTCCTTTACATGATAGTAGTGGATTCGTACTATAGCATCCTTGGGTGCAGCCGCTGGTGTGCTACTAGGTTTAGGAAACTTATGAATACGATCCATCAGTAAATCTGAATTAGTGGCAGTAGGTATAACTGCCTTTATTATGTTCTGGAAATATTAAGGTAATTCCACGGTGTCAATATTGTCAGGAAGCCCCCTGATCCTTAAGTTGTGTCTGCTCCTGTCTTCAGCATCTGCCAACTTTTCATCCCTGCTGGTTCACCTGTCTTTGGAGCGCCTTCACAATGTCAGCCAAATCCAAATGAGATTGCTCTTGAAAATGCAATCTATTTTCTATTGCCTCCGTGTGTTGATTAATACCCTCCATAATTCCATAGATTGCCTCAAAATCTTTCTTGAAGTCATTTTTTTTTAAATCCACTCTTAAATTTTGAATAAGTTTAATTATCATGCCAGCTGATGGTGGCAAATCTTCTGCCATTTCAAGTGGCATAGTAGGCAGGGGCGTATAAGCCGTGAGGCAAACAAGGCATTTGCCTTGGGCGGCATTTTTCAGGGGGCGGCAAAAAACGCCGCCCCCAAATGCCCAAGGCAAATGCCTTGTTAGCCTTGTGGCTAACTGACATGCCGGGCGGGCGGCGCTGGGTGGGCGGCTGGCGAGGGAGCACTTCATCTGAGCTGTCTGCTCAGCTCCCTCGCGCGCCGCACAGTGAGGCTGGGAGCCGGAAGATGACGTCATATTCTGGCTCCCAGCCTCACTCTGCAGCGCGCGAGGGAGCTGAGCAGTCAGCTCACAGGAAGTGCTCCCTCGCCAGCCGCCTGCCCAGCAGCCAGTGCCGCCCAGCCCGACTGGCAGCCACTGGACAACCAGGGAGAGAGAGACCCCCCCAGCACTCCCAAAGGTAAGGAGGGTGGGGGGATAAAAAAAATAGTTAATGTGAGTGACTGTGTGTGTGTGTTTGTGTCTGACTGTGTTTGTGTGTGTTTTTGTGTGTGTGTGTGTCTGACTGTGTGTTTGTGTCTGACTGTGTGTGTGTGTGTTTGTGTCTGACTGTGTGTGTGTGTGTTTGTGTCTGACTGTGTGTGTTTGTGTCTGACTGTGTGTGTTTGTGTCTGACTGTGTGTGTCTGTGTATGTGTTTGACTGTGTGTGTCTGTGTATGTGTTTGACTGTGTGTGTGTGTCTGACTGTGTTTGTGTGTGTGTGTGTCTGACTGTGTGTTTGTGTCTGAGTGTGTGTTTGTGTGTGTATGTGTCTGACTGTGTGTGTGTATGTGTCTGACTGTGTTTGTGTGTGTTTGTGACTGTGTGTGTGTGTTTGTTTGTGTCTGACTGTGTGTTTGTGACTATGTGTGTGTGTGTTTCTGTGTGTGTGTTTGTGTCTGACTGTGTGTGTGTGTGTGTTTGTGACTGTGTGTGTCTGACTGTGTGTGTGTGTTTGTGTCTGACTGTGTGTGTGTCTGACTGTGTTTGTGTGTGTGTCTGACTGTGTTTGTGTGTGTGTGTGTCTGACTGTGTGTGTGTGTGTGTGTCTGACTGTGTGTGTGTGTGTGTGTCTGACTGTGTGTGTGTGTGTGTCTGACTGTGTGTGTTTGTGTCTGACTGTGTGTGTGTGTTTGTGACTGTGTTTGTGTCTGACTGTGTTTGTGTCTGTGTATGTGTCTGACTGTGTGTGTTTGTGTCTGACTGTGTGTGTGTTTGTCCCCACCCTCCCCCCTGCTGAGATCGACAGCCAAGAGCTCCCTCCTCCACTATTCGGTCACTTTTGTAAGCGACCGGAAAGCTTTTGTATCTAACAGCGCACTCCTGGAATGATGTGAGCGGGTAGCGGTCACGCTCACATAAACCTGGGTCTGGGTAACAGAGCAGGAGGGAGGGATTTTTCCAGAGTCCACCAACGGGGATTTTAATGGTGAGGCAAGCCACGGGACGGTTTTAGGTGTAGGTGTTTGGGCTTGCAAGCCCTTACTCACCCCAGCAGCTCTTGCTTCTTGTTTCTTGCTTCAGACATGTTTTTTTCCCGGTTTTCTTTGCTTCTGCATGTTGACAGAAAGATTAAAAAGCTGTAGTAGCAATCGGATTCAGCCCAATAAAATTTGAAATATTGAATTTGGAACAAAATTGTCATCTTGGCCCAGGAGCCTCTCTAGTAGGTGGCCATCTAAGATGGTGGCCAAGACACACCCTCAAGATTACATTTTTTGAAAGACCTGGTGATTATAATCTTGGGAGGGGATTTAGTGGCCTTTATTTTGTGTATGCAGTACATAGACAGTGCTCATTGAAACTGTTAGGGAGAACGTCTGCCTCCTGGATTCTGTCAGGACAACTGGAGAGAATCCAATCTAGCAAGGTATGGTTTTGGCTTTTAATATTAATGCAAGTAGGTGAGCAAATTAATTGAGTTAGCTGCAAAGTCTTAAACAGCGTACAAGATTTATTATTTTTAGGATTCGGCCAAATAATATTAAAATCTCCAAAAACCAACAGTTCACTTTTTTGGTTTTGAGCTACAGTTTCTCTAAGTAGTTGGGCAATGTCAGAAAGGAGTGCACCGGAGAACTAGGTATATTAATAGTATAGAGTATATATACTGATGTGTCTAAAATGCACAGTTTAATCACTTGAAATACACCCTTTTACCAGGAAAACTGAAGTGTGGAAAAATGTATACTTGCAATGTAAAGCCTTTAAAATGTAACTGGCCCTGTGTGAGATAAAGTGAGAGCAAACTGGATAGGGTTTCCAAGACAGCCATGCCTCCATTTTGGCTATTTAAGACTTAAATTTGAAATTCACTTTGAATTCCCCACTGTCAGCGGTGACGGTCCAGAGACCAGGATCCAGTATGCCGTTAAGATGGTAGGAGTTACAGTGAGGAAATGACCCCTGCACAGGGTCTGGTGCAGGGTAACCACATGCCCCCAGGTGCTGAGCACCAGGGTTTGTGCAGCCATATACCAGGGCCCTGATGCAGCATCTGCAGATCACAGGAGCTTGATAATATGCAGATATGTATCCAGTACTAGAAACAAGGCAAGACTAGAATAGGCACCAAACAAGATAACAAGACAAGACTAGAAGAACCCAGAACAGGACAGAAAGCAGAACCCAGAACACGTACACAAGACATGAGGGAAACAAGAACAGCACATGGACAAGGCAGGACAGGACTGTACATAAACTGGGAATACAAGACAAAATAAAACAAGACAATAGATACAAGGCAAAACAAGAGGAGAACTAAGTGCTATATATGTAATAAACATTGGAGATTTAGACATACATAAATGGCCAAGATGTATGCAGCCCACCACTGCACCAAAGTACTCCAATTACGGTGGGTCCTAGCTGCCTACATATCCATGACTAAAAGTACAACAATAAAAAACACACAGTACATACCTGCAAGGAAAGGAGCAGAGGAATGAGACCACTGCTAGCAGGAACACATTGAAACAAAAAGGATAAATGGCAAAGGAACGGGTGTGGCAACAAGAAACAAACATTCAAAGGAATCCAGGAGACAGGGAATTCTAGGAAAGGAATAAAGTAATGAACCCAGAAAACCCAGCATAAAGAAAACCAGACATATAATAGATAACCTGAAAAACTAAAAAAAACTAAACAAGAATTGTAAAAAGTGTTCTGGATACCTGAAGCCATGGCCAGAAAAGATCCGCAAACAGAAACAGGATGTGACCCCCACAATTTTAACATCAGTGAATAACCTTGTTAATGTAATTTTCTTTAGCTAGGTATCCATGTAAGAGTTGAGGTGGCTATAAAATTATCGCCAAACAAAAGTGTACAGGATATAGCTGGCTATCTACAGAAAGAACAAAAATAATGCAATAGTGTAATACAGTTAATATAAAATAATTTGCGCCAGGTATGACTGCACTCACAAGATTGAGAAGTAAAAGTCGCCTTAGGGTGCCTCCCCTTGGATAATTGGGGAGGTATATCCAGGATTCCTTCACCTTTTATGATGTCATCACCACGGAATGGAAGAATGGACTAAGGGAATTTCAAGAACTATATTTTGCTTTATTGTGCAAGTAAGAAAGTTAAATAAAATGCAAATTGAGGTCCTACGCGTTTCATCTTTACAAAAGACTTCCTCAGGGACCAATAAAACAAATTCAAATATCAAATATAAAAACAATCCCACAGTGAGGATCAAAGCAGCATATAACCCTCCCCCTGAGTCTCTCTTTATGTATGGTCTTCCTCTCGCATCATTGGTGGTTCCTGTCTTAAGTTATTCAAAATTAGATTTCCTGGGTTTGCAGTGATCGTGTGACGTCACTTCTGGAAGTCGTGTTCAGATGATCGATGCGTTCTACTATACAATCATCATGTGTACCAGGTGCAATACCAAATGATGATTGGATATTTGGAAAGCATTAATAATACCCTAACCCTAGGTATGCTGTTCATTACGCAACCTTGGTGGCAACAAATATATTAAAATCCTTTAGTCATATTCCAGTTTTTATTTTTCATTCACAAGTCCCAGTATTTATGTGGTTCCCCATGCAAGGGGTTTCCTTAATCACTTTACAGGGGTTGTACAGTAGGGGACTACATGGGGAACTGAACATACAGGACATTTTTCCCACCATGCACTGCTGTATGAGAGGGATACTCCCATAAGAATATCCTGTTAAGTGGATTATCCCTCTGTACTGCAGAACCGGTCTTTTCACTTAAAAATATATAACTTGCATGTTATTCATGCTATTTGACCGAATGACATATAGGTAGATAGCTGGGATCTGAGTGTATACTTCGGGAAACTACCGCTCAGATCCCAGCACAATTAGCCGAATGCCATACAAAATACACTTTAATATAAACTCAGCAGAAAAGACACGAATGCACAGTTTGAGGAAAAGTACCGAAAGACCGGTGTTCCCGAACGGTCTGGAAGTCCAGCGGTGTTTGTGCTGTCGAGTAGCCGATTTTAGTTCCATGCACTCGATGACCAAACACCACTGGGCTAAAAGTGAATCCAAGATGGCGGCCGCCGTGTGGTCC